TCTGAGTGTATGTACAAAGTGGAGAAACCGCGAGACGGAAGGCGGAGCATGAGAAGATGCAGCGTGTGGAAAAAGGAAAAAAGAAACAGCTATCGCGTTGCGAATGGAAGGAAGAAAGGCTCTGACTTTCCTCATAATACCAGTCGGCCCATTAAAGCTCACCGGGACTTGCGGAACATGCTAGTGTTCCACCCTGCTCAAGTGCCCTCTCTCTCTCTCTCTCTCTCTCTCTCTCTCTCTCTCTCTCTCTCTCTCTCTCTCTCTCTCTCTCTCTCTCTCTCTCTCTCTCTCTCTCCTTGAGTCGACCGAAGAGCTACAATCGGGCGCGAAGAACTTTTCCGCCGCGATCGTGAACTTTCTCCGCGCAAAGTGGAAATTCGTCTACTTGGAAGGGGCTCTAAAAGATTTGCCGGTGCAGTGGATAGTGTGATCAAATAAAAAGTAACCGACAAATGTCTCGCAAAATATGTATATAATATTAATCAAGCTATAAAAAATAAATATTAAAAAATGAATTCTTTTAGAGATATTAAAAAAAAAGATAAAAAGATAAAGCCTCTCCTAAGCTTGCAAAGAAAAATAGAGAATATTCCAGCTCGAGAGACTGTTTCTAAATTTAAAAATTAACGCTGCTTGGGCGCTAAATATAATCATTTTTGACACGCGTTCTAACGTCTGCGAAAAGTCGCATTAGTCACGGTTCAGGCGTGTTATTCGCATACTGACGCGCTTCCACGTAACACGTTGTTCTACGACGCGGAGTTTTATATTTTATGTCGCGCAACTCGCACTGGTTTCCACCCTCAGTACGTAGTAAAGTACACACCACCACCCGGGAACTTCCCTACGCGCACCTATACATTATTTTCGCCTCGCGTGATTTATCGTCCCTGCAGTGGTAATGGAACTTGCGAAACCTGTCCGACATATACATAAGAAATTGCTTACCGTGATATAAATGTCGAGCGGCGACAAGCCGAGCGGTTTGCATTAAGAAATGCAATCTGAGAAACGTCCGATAACGACGTTAACTTGGCGAACAATCGTCGAAATAATTTTCACGGTAATTTACTACGCACTGAAAGTGCCAAGGAGACCCCCCTGAGATTCGTGGCGACGTAATATCGCGGTATTACGTAATACGCACGCTTACCTTCCCCCTCCCTGGATACACTAGATATATTATCCAAGGGAAGATACCTAAATGATCCGAACAAGGTATCTCCATTATCTGATAGTGTACAGAATCCCTGGGCAGCCATTTCGTCGCACCCGCGCACAACTATCACCCACCTATCGGAAGAAATTACCAGATTTCGCCCCGGGATAGCCGCGCGTGAAACGTGCAAATTACGAGACACCCGGTACGTGTTGCGCTCGCGCCATGTATTTCGCACGTGTTGGCTGCCGGCGACTTTGCGGTATCGTCGCGCGAGTTCGCATTCCCCGTTCCATCAGCCTGGGCAAAAATTATGCAAATGCATTTCCTTCGCGCGTCCCGGCGCATACAGCCGATGAGACCGAAGTAACGAAACTTTATGCAACGTCGTCTCGTAGCGCCCGCTTTCGGATCGCGCTGCATTTCTCTCCGCGAGAGAGCCCGAGTCTTCCACTCCCTTTTATACTCTAGTCTTTACATAAATTTCAGCGACGATCATCCCCGGCGTAAGACGGAATAGCGAAGCGGTGTATTTCGATATATAGATACAACGGTGATCTGACGCGAGCCGGTTAAGCGAGAGTTAAACTATCGATCCGCACTGCGTACACCATTTCTGGAATATTCGGATATTAGATAATTATTCGTTCCAGCGCAATTATGAGCCAATAATATACTATTAAGTTACTACTAATAGAACAATGATGATTTCAATTTACAATAACGATCATACGGGCAGATAAATTAGATTTCATGCTGTTGATATCAAGCCATCGTGATTTTTATTTGCAAAATTTTACACACAAACATTTATTTTTCCCAAATTGACCCATTGTTTAGTTTTTGCGAGCTATATGTTAATAAAACATATTGGTCTATGGATTGGTCTATTAGTCGAATTGATATACTCAGATCGAAATGGTTTTATGAGTGAGCGCAAATATCAAACGTTTGTAAAAATATAAAGGACACTTAGCGTACAAATAGAAGTTTTTAATCGCAATTTTTGTGTTTTACTAATGTATACGCGATGAGGGATAATGGTTACGTCATGCGGCTACGCGACATAGGTTTGAAAATAGAGTATCGCATACTGCGCGTAATTTAATGAACGACCTGCAAGGATTAAGTTAATAATTTCCAACGGCCGTAATTGCAAATGTCGAATGTGTTTGCAACATTTGCACTCACTGCGCCAGGATATAATATATCACATAAGTCATTAACTTTGAATTCGCATTACGAGTTAAATTTTGATATTTTAACAGAGCTGTTACGCAAAAATGTTGTTAAAAAGGTAAATTATTCTACAAATTATTATTATATTTTTCAAGAAAAAGAATTTCTCTTTCATATATCTTTATTATAACCGACCCAGATAAAACGCGTGCAGTTACCCATCAATGTTGAAAGTACGAGCTTTGCATTTTGAACATGAGAAAGTAAAATGTATATATTCCGTTCTTCGTGGAAGATAGATTTAATTTCGACTCTTCTCTTGCATTCGACACAAGTGCATCTGATAGCGACGTTACCGGGAAATATACAACATCATATCGATACACGCAAATGTCGAGTGTCCCTTGAATATCTGCGTGATTTATATTTGCAAACGTATCGGCTTCTTGAGTCAAATGCAGCTGCGTGTTACTTTTGTATGCATTGGCCGTCACCGAGAAGCACGGAGGAAAGATTAAATAGCGAAAGAAAGAAACTGACGTATCCATATCTTCGACATGATAGCATCTTCGAAATTGCAAATGCTAAATTTACCAAACGCCATATAACGTATATACGTCTATTTTATTAACTATAAAACGCTATCTATATATACATTTCCAAGACGTACATACATTTTCTTTTTTATTATAAAAAAGCATTTTGCCTTCAATGACTTGTTTTGTTAATTAATTAATGCTAAAAACAAAAAGCTAAAACTAAAAACAAAAAGATCAATTACTGCAATTTTTCCAACTGTTTATGATTTATCAAAAATATTTAAATTAAATTATATTTTAACTTGATATATTTTTACGCAATTTCTTTTCAATTTTTTCAGATATAGACCCACGAAAGACTTATAATTATAATTATAAAAATATTCAGTATTCTACACTGCAGAGAAAAATTAGTGCAAAATTACAACCACGATAGTAAACCGACTATTGCATGTGTAAATTTTCACGTATGTAAATTTAGAGTTTGCAGCTAAAATTAATTTCTAGTGTTGCAATAAATAAATATATAGGTACACACACACATATATATAGTATATGTGTTTTATAGATTAATAATCCAATTTATCCAAAAAACTTGATTTCAAATTTACTTGTGTGGCACACTGCGAGTGAGTAAAACAGAAGATTGTAAATTTATTTTACTTAAAATAAAAAATGTAACTATATAATTTATAGAATATTACTGTTGTACTGCGTAATATATATATATATATATATATATTTAAAAAAAATGGATAAATTTACTCAAATAATAGATATAGAAATAAAAAAATGTATATACATTTAAGATTAATAAAATATTCTATTACTTGCGTAATTTTCCATATAAAATAAAGATATATTTACACACTAAAAAATAAAATTACATGATTTTGTATATTTTTGTCATAAATCGTATAATTTCTATATCTATTATTTGTGTAAATTTATCAAATTTTTTCGTACATAAAATTTAGATATATAATTCAGGATTTGTGTTAAAAGTAACGGAAAAAACGATGATGCTTTAAGAAATTAATTTAACACGAAGACAATAACGAAATAAATTTAATAGAAGGTTTGTCGTCGAGCAAATCCGGAATATTAACTCACAGCCGCAAAAGGTTAAGGTCGCCGCGGGCGAAATTAGGGCCAACCGGCAGCGTAACGATCACGACCTTCGCCCTCGGCGTCGTCGTTTCAATTGTCAGCTGCGCCAAAGGGCGTAGCGCGTCCGATATGGTGCGATCCGTCAATCAGTCGAAAACGATCGCTCGGTAGAATCGTCAATGCTCGAATTTGGGTCATCGCAAAGCTTTCGTGAGCTCGCGCGGAATCGACCCAAAGCCGTTCCATAAGCCGCGAAAAATGAGCAGCGACAAGCGCTTTCGAACGAATCGGAAGCAGCTCTTTCGAAGGAAAAAGAAATTCTGTCGTAGTCCTAATAAAAGTATGCCTTCGCCTTCCGAAGCTCCGTGAAAGTAACCTGTTGCGGTGACCCTATTAATAGTTCGGATCCCGATAAAAATTCGACCCCGCCAGGGGGAAACCCGTCACTTTTATATCGTACATCTTGAAATCTATCAATTCGATGATGAAATCGCAAATGCGACAACGTGCGGAAACAACGAGAAATGCTGTTCGTATAATCGGTTGCAAACTATTGTTGACAAAAAAATAGTCGTTATACGTCAAAACGGTTTTACGACGAAAACGTAGTGATAAGCTGAGTGATAAACAGAGCGTACGATAAAATGTAATGTAACTAGAGTACGTCACGTGCAGTTTATGACGATATTTTTGTTCCCCGCGTTTTTGCACAACAGCGCGAACGGTAACTGCTTGATTTACATGACGCGACTATTCCGCGAGAACGATTTGGGACGCCGGGTAAAATCGGGGCGATGTGTAACACAGAGTGGATCACTCTTAAATACACTCGGAACAATTGTAGATCGAACGGGATTGTCGCTCGATTAATGGAACAGTAAAGATCTTTTAAAAAATGACCGAGGTAACCTCGACGAATCTCGCGTCGTTCGTGTAATTGGCAGCGATCAATCACGGCGACGTCGCAACTCGTTTTATTTTCTGCGAAAATTTCAAAAAAATTAGAGACTTACCAATTTTAGCCAAAGATTCGTGATGAGCAACTGGTTCTTCTCGTCCTGCAAAAATGATTAAACATTAATATTGCATTGAAGGATTGCATTTGTTTTAATATGCAAAGTGTTTTTTTTTATTGTTCAAACAAAATTTGCTCACAAACAAAAAATTGATAATTATTAAGAATAACTGCATATGTATGGTCATTCATAATTTACAGAATGTAATATTTGATACTGATTGAGAGAATCAATTTCTCAAAGAAATTGTAAACGGAATGAGTAAAATATATATAAAAGTAAGTCATTCTGTAAATAAATATCTAAAACTCTGAAAAGTAAATTAAATTTAATATATTTGTGTGAGTTAATGTGTTATATATAAATACATAAGGTTTCTATTTTAAAAATAGACACAGGCGTATTTTTGAAATTTGTCCAACGCAAAACGAATTAACGTGCTAGAAGCGGCTTCGTAACTCATTATGCAGTTTCATATCGCAATTAAAAATTGCTGTGGAAGAGCGCATGTGCATTTAACAAGGCTCGTGAAGACAAAGGACCTTCATTGCTCAGAGTGTTTGCAGGTTGCATAATAATGGCACACACACAGCGTGTTATTTAATCAATTGTACGTTGTTAGCGGAGTAAATTATTTGCGCATATTTTCGCGACAATTATAAATTTACTGCAATAAATTCCCGAGAGCAAACGTGCAAGTTTCTTTTTATGAATGATGCGGGATTAGATGGCAAAAAATGTCCGTGCAACACTATAAATTACATGATATTATACATGAGCGCGATAAATATGATATTCTTCCTTTTGGAATTTTTCGAATTTTTTCAGCCATAAATTTATATTATGTTAAAAGAGAGAAGAAAAGACATTCTCGTTAAAATGTTGCCAGTAATATATTATTTTTAAACTTTATACAATGTCATAAAAGCGTTCGTTTAACAAAATAATTAATAAAATGTATTGTGTGTGTTATGTACTATTTAATAAATTGTCTTTTTATCGTAGAAATTATTCACTTATAAAACTTCTTAAGTCGTCAAATATATTTCTATTAAAATCTCGTTTTCACAAAACCAACATTTGTTCTTTTTTTAGAATTTCTTCAGAAGTGCGTTAGTGCAATATTTTTCAATAATTAACACTATAACAAGGCTAGAGTGATCCTAGAGAATATTCTGTGTGTTGGCCTTTATCAGTTTTCGCGTACCAATTAAAGCCAGTAACTCTTATAAAAACGTAGATTGTTTCAAGCCATTCGTTACTGGAGACTAAACGACAAATCGAATTACATCACAATCCGTTAAAAAAAATGGTCAACTAACGAATTCGAAAAATTCAATATGCCTTTGAAAATACAACACATAAATAAAAAGATTTTATTAATAAATGCATATAGATACATGTTGTAATTATGATTTTTCTCGTTATAATGTGCTATATGTATGAATTCGTTACAACAAAATGTATTTTAGATCAAATATTGAAAGTAAAAAACTGTATAAAAAATATTCCCCTTAAAAACCTTTACATGGAACTCTATATAGTTGTTACAAATTCGTTGTTACAAATAAAAAAAGATATAATTATACATTATCTATAATGTTATAGATAAACGAATAAAATCCTTTTTGATTTAAGAAATCCACTACAATTATGCAGTAAATTTGTAATATAAAAAATTGCTAAAATTAAACTGTTTAATTATCCAAAGTTTTAATGTAATAATAAACAGAGTTTTTAAAAGTAAGATTTTGATGTAATACGTATAATTTTTAATATTTGCAAGTTACAGTTACGACAGATTTTTCATAATATTTTATAATATTATACATAAAATGATATCATACAGCAGCATTATGTTGCAAATAGAGAATGGAAACACACGAGTTTATGAAAAATAAGGTATATAAAAACTTAGAGAAAATGTAGAAAACAAGAAATAGTGTATCTTCGAAAGAAGCGTTGTTTTATACCGTATCCGCATGTCGAGAGAAACATTCCGAGGACAAATACGGCGCATATGCGACGAGTGAGTGTATGCAACGCGACTTCTTGACGTACAAAATGAGACTGTCCCCAATATAACGCTCAGTTCGCTATATTGCCGCTATTTTTACTGCCGTCGTGTACGAAATTTCCGGTTTCGCTCGTTCGCATTGCGCATTGTTAGCCTCGTCACGTAAGGCATTGGCTTTCGGGTTTCCCGTGTTCAAACCGCGTTCTTATCCTGATTACGAGCGCGTCTTGCACGAGGAATGCTCACCTCCCGAGAAGCTGCATTCCCGTGTCTCATGGGAGGCCTGCATCCACGAAGATGAGCTTCGATATATCCTCGAAACGTATGGCGATACGAGACATGGATATCGATCCTTGTATCCGGAAAGCGCGCGAAGAAGGAGGGTAGGAACAAGGAAATAATATATCAAGTTGTACTACGAAGAATGGCATCGCACCAATAAAGAAAGATTTTCAGATCGTTCGACGTTGGAAAAATTAATCAACAAGTATTTTGCAATTTTATGAAAATCAAAAAACTATTAAAATTTATCTGAAATTTTAGTACAATATAATAATAAGTAAAATCTAATTTACTAAAATAAAATTTTTAATAATAATTATTATTTTTTTAGATACTGAATTCTCGATTATACGATGCGGAATGTTTTTCTTCTTTGTAATGTAAAGTAATGCGGGATATCTGAACGTTATCGCACTTGATTGCGCCCAATAGCGTAAAATAAAGCACGTCCATAAAAGTGTCCTTTACTTAACTCCTTAGGAATTGATACGAGATACAGACGCCATTCTATTCGCGCTTATCGCCGGCAATCCTATAATTACTTGCGCCCCGATAGCTCGGCGATTTTCTAAACTTGTCATACATCAACGAAGTTAACAATCGGCTTTCTTCGCCCTGCGGCGTTCGTTTTCGGAGCCTCCCGGTCCATTTCGTGGAGAAAAGTGAGCTCTGAGTTTCCCGCCGACTTATCCTTTCGTCCGTCCGCGAGATAAACTGTTCCTCGATAATTGGATCTTATCGTTTAACCTCGCCCTTTTCAAAAACCACCGCTCAAAGCCTCGTCTAAGGTCGAGGTTAATCCACGCGGTCATTACTTCGCCGCATTCCCTTGCATAATTTAACGTCTCGCTGGAACTTTTCATTGCCGACCGTGTTCTCCAAGGACCCACTGGTCCTTGTAAGCTAATGGGACCATAGTCGCGCACGTTTCAGACAGCCGCGTCTCATCTTTTAACACTGTCGCTAATTTAACTGCAGGATTGAGCGAGAAATATAATCAAATCTCTGAACTCATACTGGAGTTATTTTTAAATTGACAATGTTTCTTACGCATTTGCACAGTTAACTCATCTTCAGTGTAAAATCTAATCCAAGTAAAATCTACTATTCATTGAAACTTTTCAATTTTAATTTTTAGCTTTAAATTTGTATAGTCCTAAATCATATGTGCGGATTAAAATAATATTTGATAGAATAAAATTGAAATAACTTAAAATTGCAGTTAAAACAGAAGAAACGTAAATACAGAGAACAAGAAATTAAATAAAAGTTCTACTCCGCTTCGCGCACTATAACGGTAATCAAATCTTCGATCCGGAGAAATTTTCATTCCGCGCCAAAAGTAACGGCACTTCGTTTTTCTCGTCGACTGTCGAATCTCGCAGCGCGATATCGCCTGGACCTGTTCCAAGGTACTCTGTTTTTCTGAGCATCGAATCCACCAACGGAATTTTCGAGTAGCCCGGGGCAAATACTTGAAGGTTTAACAAGCTGTCGTCCACCACATAACTAAATGAGAACGAGAAAGGCAGAGAAAAAATGTCTCACCGCACCGTAACGGCCCACTAAGATTGTTCGAATGCCAAAAAACAGACCGGCGGAGAATCTCGTTTATCTTTCGCAACTTCGCTTCGTGCAAAACGCGACTAGACTACTCCGAAGAAAGTCGGGCGAGTGCGCATAATGAATGGCTCGTCACCAGAAAACGATCATTAGCTCATGTTCATTTCCGCTATCAAATATAGTGAGACCATATGCTGTTAAAAATAAAAACCCAAATGAACATTAATTATAGTACATTTATCAGCTACTGATTACAATATTTAAATATTATAATCAGAAACTCAGAATTTATTTCGATTAATTGAACACGGTAGCTTGCACTTAATACATGTATAGTAGATAGCGCTTTCACGACCGCATACAGATGCAGATACGCAAGCGTTGCAGGTATTCCGGATACTGATTAGGAAACTATGCCGAGGGTCGTTTCAGGACCCGCCTGCGATATGGCTTAGCCGCGATTGTACAGATTTTATGCGACCAAAGAGAATGTTCAGAGAACCCGCTCCGACAAACTGAACACCGCCGCAGACTATTGCGGTCACTTCAATCAACCGCACACAAGCCCGATTGCGTCTATAAGGGAGGGCCCGGTATCTCCACTCGACACGTGCGCCGAGCTAACTTGCCCAATGATGCACTAAGACCACCTTGACCTCGATTATTATTCTTTATGTAAGAAATTCACGGAGCCGCAATCGGATCAATGATGATACTTTGATTGGCGTTCTGCAGAGCGATAGCGGATCAAAGTGCTCAAAAGCTTCAGACGAAAACTAATTTCAAGGTATCTATGCAGCTTTATAGAATTTTTTTCGAGCTTTTTCCGCGCCTTTTTTTACAAAGAAATACAACGAAATCGTAGACAAACGTTATAACAAAAAGAGAGTGAATTGAAGCGCAGCTTCAAAATTAAAAAGCGCACATTTCTGTTTCACGTTTCACGAATCGTTCTATTGCACAATCACACATGTATGGGCCGTATATTGATGACAAAGAACAATATTCAACGTGCACTGGCACATATTGAAATTTCAAAGTTAAATGTTCCGCGAAGTTGCCGAAGTTGGATCACGGAGAGAGTAACAGAAATATATACGTTACTGTAAAGTTAGATTGGCTTATACGAAAATAACTGCAATTATGTGAATTTCCATTCAAGGAATTGCCAGCGAAAATG